CCCACTGACTCCTCCTCAGTGATTGGGTTTTTTGGATTGTTTGCTACGTGTTTCAGCTTTCAAAACATTTCTTCTGATCTGAAAGGAGAAAGACGATATATCCTCAAATAATAACAGGAGAATCCAGAAAATATGCATTCATAATAATACTAAATAGCCTGCACTCAGCTCCAAGCACTCAGCACACCTTGCTGGGTATTCAAGACCCAGTTTCAAAACCTGTGCTCAAAGCTGAGCTGTGACAGTGCCACCACTTCAACAGGAGCTCCCCATAGTGACAGCAAAGAAGCCCAGCCCTCAGAAATGTAAAGTTAATATCTGCAATGTTTTCTAGACTTGGGCATTTCCTCAGAAGAGAGTTAGATAGGAATGAGAACATTTTGGCTCTACATAAAATCGTGGTGATGGCAAGGCTGTAGACAACTCCTCAGTCAATTGTAAATGTACATAGTCCAATTCCTTCTGAGGAGAACAAACAAACCAAACAAAATGAAAAAAAAAAAATCAAAGGAGGAAAAGATGCTGGTTATACAGTATTTTAAAAAAAGTTTCTGCCGATTTTACTTTTGAAATAAATTTTTAAAAAAATCTATAGGCTCTATTTACAACTTGGTAGTCTTAGGGTGTCATATCCAATACTCTCTGGAGATGAAATATCTCCAAAACACTGCAAAATTCCTGCCAGAGCAATTTCTTTCACTCTTATTACCACTGAGTATTAGAACTGATTAACTTTAAAGAGTCATCACCAACACTAGTAGATTCCATGAGGTTTAGATGTCAACTTTCTCTGATTTATGGAAATCTATATTTAAAGTTACAGACAGAGAATGAAACTAGAATAATTTAAAATGCTACATCACCAGAATATGACTTCTGTGGTAAGACTTGCTAGAGACCAGGTAGATAGTTAGGAAAAAGTAATTTTTATTCTATTCAGAACAGAGAAATCATGAGGAAACTTGTGAATTTCCTTTTTTTTTAATATAAAAAAAAAAACCAAAAACAGACTTTCAAAACATCCTCGGGAAGGCAGCTGCATTTACCCTTGCCAAGACAAGTCTAATCCATGTTATAACAAACAGACACCAAGCTGAAGTTAAAAGCTTTAGTTGTGCTCTGCAGTTCTAGTTTATAATGCCCCAAGGAGGGGATTCTCCTGCCTCACCTTTCCAACTCACAGTTCCCACAGGAACTGGACAGGACTGATTTTCATGTCTAGAGTGGATCATGCACCTCTTTCCTTTCCTCCATCCCTGGCAGAAAACAAGTGATTCTAGAAAATGTACAAGAATTTTCAAGATGCTTCAAGAATTTTCAAGTAGCTTCCACTAAAAGAAGGGAAAAGAAATCCAACATAGAAAAAGACAGTTCAGTTTAGTGCTGTAAAATTACCTCCAAGGTATTTTGATCAGACATTCTGAAAGTTCATTACAAAAAAAAAAAAAAATTAAAATTATAAACGTTATTCTTTATTTCATACTTAGGGAAACTGATTGAAACAAATGAAGTAACTTGCACAAGGATATTCAAAGCCTGTGTAATTGTCTAATCTGGGTTCTACCTCCTGCCTACCACTGCTGAGCCTTAACAACTCCCTCTTTCCTCCACAAAGCTGCAGGCTTCAGCAAACAAAGCATTCTTTCGAGCTAATTGGTATTACACAGAAACTCAACTGCTCTTATTTACAAAACTACAGATTTATGTCAAGCAAAGCCAATTATGCCTAATGTTTAAACTATTGCAGGTGCTCGATGACATTGTGCTAGGCAGTAGAAGTGAAATTGCTCTTTTAATGCATCTTGTTCCAACTGGGAGCATGTGTTTTATCATCAGTGCAAATTTAACAGATGGAGATCTTAATCCTCTCCCTCTTCAGGCCTCCCCCCACATGGTGTCCCATGCCTTTAGACCTCACTGAGGTGCTCTATGAACTCTCTGGGATAGAAATTGCATTTTTTTTTTTTGCATGTGTGTCCATGAATACAGTATAAAACACACACTGAACCATTAAAAAGACACCCCCAAAACTACCAGCAGTAATCAGAAATACATCTGGCTATTCAAGGCTAGTAATGACCTCTGATGGGCACTGCACCTTCTCAGTTATCACCAGAGCTGCACAAAAGCAGCTTCTTCTCAAGCCAAGTCTGAATCTAGAGCCCTTTATACTCATTTATATTAATTTCACTGTGCTGGGAAAACAGTTGGAAAATTCAGGCAGTAACCAAAGAAAAAACTGAACTGAGATGTTTCTGGTCACTTCTAATGTCACCTAGGAGACAAAGTTTTCCACCAAAAACAAAAAAACCAAAAATCAAACAAACAAAAAAACCCCAAACCAATAAAAAACAATCTTCAAAACTATAAACCTTTATGTTGAGGATTAATTAATTAATTAACTTTGTGCAAAGCAATCCAGAATGGCAACAGGTGACCTCAAACACAAGCAACCAGATCTGAGTGCTTTGTTGTCTCCCATGAGAAGTGCCTGCTACAGATCAACAAAAGTTTGAACAAGAGAAGGCTCTCCTGGCATTTTCCAGCTGTTTATTGCATCATTTTGTAGACACACACATCTTTATTTTTTTTGTCCTCTAATTTTTTTTAATGTAAAAAGTCACTAAGTATTTTAGAAGTGTAAAGCTTCCTTCAAAGTAAAGGCCAAACCTTTAGAGTCCTTTGTACCAATTTCACTGCGTGTTGGCACAAGGTTTATGTAATTTAGGCAGTGCCCTGCATGTACAAAGGATTGCATCAGCTTTGATTGGAGTGCTAGATGCTGCAGATCAAGAAAAATTCCTGTCTGTTGGTTTTAAGTGCTAAATGGCTCTGTCACAACAGTGAGAGTGATTGATAGATTTTTTGCATGAAGATTCCTCTGCTCCACCAACTGAACTAAGTCCAAATTCAGCAACCAGTGCCCCCTTTTCTTCTGCCATCCATCTGAAAGGCCAAATTCTATTAAATCTGATAGAAAAAGCTTTCCTCCTGTCTGTGTGAAGAAGGCAGGGAGCTTTCAATACTCAACTCTTCATCCCAAAGCCCATTCTAAGGAATTCCTACCCAGGGAGTTAACTAATCTTTTTTTTTTCCTGCAAAAATAACCTCAACAAAAAAATCAAACCAAAAGGCCGCAATTTGGTAACCGCCGGCAACCAATCCCAAGGTTCAAATTTCGAAAAAAAAAACAAAAAAAAAAAGTGTTCTTGGGAAGTTTGGGGCCATTCAGCCTGAGAATGCAGCAGACTAAACATTTTACCTTAAAATAGAGTTAAGTTTCTTGTTCTCTTGTTCTTGACATAAATGGTTCCAAACTGCTGTTAATTTTGTAGTTTAAAAAATTACTCATCATTAGTTAATAAAAACATCTACAGCCCAATCATATTCATCTGCCCAAAATTTAAATTTTACCCTTCTATTACATAGTTCCTCTTTTGTGGATAACTCTCAAATGCTTTGAGAGCCATCACATCCCTCCTGTCAGCAGACTCCAACCAGCATTTTTTGTAGCTTCTCTGTGCAAGAACAAAGGTCAAGTGTTCAAGAACATCTCAGAAAAGAAACCAGTGTTTTTCATGGCTTAAACCTGAGTCTATTGCACTACAAATATGATTTAGAAAATAGTACCTTACAAGCAAATAACTGTCAGGTGTCATGGATAAATTTACCCGAATGCGTGGAAATTATCCTGTTTGCACTTGGCAGTGCTCTCAGAGAACAGATCCTTCAGCCTTGTGCTGCCTCTCCTCCCACAGCCCCAGCCCAGCTTTTGCAGCCACTTTTGGAGAAATGTTCTATCCCTGGCTGGGCAGGGGTGAATTCATTGCATTTTTCTCCCACTCCCACAATGCCCAGCCTGAAGTTATGGCACGTGGTTAATGGTGCAGAAGACATTTCCTTTACCAGCTCTTGCACAGTTTCAGCTCACAAACTGTGTCACTTGAGTGAGTTACATCCTTTTAATGCAGCTTCTCCCGTGCCAGAGCATTCTGAATTAACTGTCCCTTCCATTAGGAACATCTTGATATCAAAGTGCTCCTTTCATTTTTTGGGTTCGATACATCTCCTTCTCATGTACAGACCCCACTTCTCTCATCACTCTTTTTAATCATATGACTTTTAAAAAGAAATGTTAAGGGTTAGATTATCATCTCTCACAACAACAAAATCAGCCACTTTTGGGAGTGTTTACCACTCTGTAGATGTTTAAACTGGAAAGCATTTTATTAGTAATTATTTTCCCCCATCTCCAAGCTGCATCTACCTTCTCCCAATCTTCTTTTCCTAATTCCCTTCACTCCCCTCTCCCTTTCAGCTGGGCTGCAATTAGCAATTTTGATGTTAATAAATTCCAGTCTCCCATTCTCCTACCATCAATTTTCTTGATCTCATCCTTGAGGAATGGCAAATCTCACAGGGCTGCTGCCAAGTGAGACTGGAAGCCTGAAGCCTCCACGTTTCATGGCACACCTTGTGCACTGAGGACTGCTCTCTTGTTTCTAGTGCACTTTTGGCAGATCCCAAAGCAATTTGTAAAGAAGCTCGATATGTTTGTGTCCATTTGACTGACAGGGAAATAAAGCAGCACCCTGCTCAAGGCTGGGGAGGGGATTTCACCAGATTTCAACATCTCTTGTGAATTATACCGCTGCAAATTAATTTGCTAAACAAACATCTGCATGTTTATTCATTTTTGACCACTCCTAAATACAAATATACGTGGATAACTATTTTCATATAAAGATTAAAAGCTTCTCTCCATGAACTGTGGCAAGCAGTGAGCTCTCCTTGGCCTGTGAGTTATGACAGGGCAGCCTCCTTCGAGGCCAAATCCTATGAAGAATGCTGTTTGGTTAACTTCTAAACAACATTATTATTCATCAGATAATTCATAAATACCAGGATATAGTTCCACTTAAGTGTGCTAAGTAATTTATCATTAGAGAGCTGGTGGATAACAAAAATCAAAAATTTAGTTAAATGAGGGTGAAATTTTATCAGGTTTTCTCCACAGGAGACAAAATGGGAGAACTTTCCAGGACAGCATTATAATGCTTGATGGTTTTTTCGTGTTTCAGAAGTTTTTCTCCAGGAAGATTCCCTCTGAACTCATTGGTGCAATCCTCGTGCAGATTGTTGTATCTGGGGGAGATGATACAGAAGGAAAATAACAAAATAATCATCCTTTAAGTATTAGCTTCACCCATTGTTTATACACAATACTTTTTAAGTTACAGTGCCTTCCAAGTCTTGGACTTCAAGGCAACCAAAAAAAATAGGAAAATATAAATATGCATTTTCCTAGAGCCTTTCAGAACTTCAGGATGAGAAGTATCAAACTAGGTACAAATGTTAACAATATCTATACTGCCTCCTTTAAAAAAAAAAAATTAACATGCTTTTTTCCCTCAGAGAAATTTTAGTGTATTTTTTCTTATTCCAGGTTTTAAAGTCTGTTTCCCACCTCTGCCTAAATCAGTGTTTATCTGAATAGTCCTTGCTCTTTTTCCTCCCTGTTCAGACAATTCTTATTCATCAAAAAATGAAACAATTGATTTAAAAAAAACCCATATTTCTAGTAAGTCAAAACTTGTATTATTGAAAAATGAGATACCTTAATTCTGAAGTGAAATGCTGATTTGAAATAAACTTTTAAAAATGTTTGGTTTATTTTTAGGAAGACTGGAGGTCAACAGATTTCTTCGTAAAAATATTAAGCTCTGGCAAAATTATTACTTTCTTTTTTAGTTTAAGCCAATTTTATGGCAATATTTTGACAACCAAAACCTATTAGTTTTCATCAGTAAATGTCACAAATGAAAACTTCAATTTACAGAAGAATGACATCCCATATGAGGAGTACAAAGTACATGCAGGAGAAATGTTTTTAGTTATGACCCAGCTCACATTTAAAAGAAGAGAATCACATTGGAATAATTAACAAGATGCTCTGGTAAACTTTGGTGCTGCGAAGTTGCTGCTACATGTAATAGAAAAAAACAACTTTTTTTTTGGTCCAGATTTCTAGAAATGCATTGCCCTTGGAAGTTTTCTATTGCTCTCATCATCACATCCCTGCTCACCAAAGTTCCTGAAGGATTTCCACAGAACTGCCTCCCAATGCCTAAAAACCACTTTATTTTCAGAGTGAGCCCCTGGTGGCACTGGCTGCTTCCCTCTCTCTGCTTGACTTCCAGGATTGCTCACAGCAAATTAACTGGGATTAAACGTCCCAGAGTTGTGAGTTCCTTGCATTTCACAAACCACAGGGATTAAACCCAGGCTCTATATGTGCTATAAAGTTGCTTCCTGTGAGCAGGCTGAGCAATTCTCGTGTCTCCAGCAGGAAGTTTCTTTCCTGCCATGCCCAGCAGAGTATCAGGAGATTTTTGGGGGCTGTCCTGTTGTCAGTGCCCTGCACAGCACTAACCTGCAGTGATGCTTTCTCACCCCCTCTCTGTCCCACACTGAAGATGTGAATTCAAATGGGTACAAAACCAAGGGCAGTTCCATAGCCAGTGTAACTTTGTGTTCCCTTCTAAACTCCATGCCAACATATTTACACCCTTCTGGAAAGGGTATGATGCTCTTCTTTCTTTAAGGCTTTTTATATCAATAAGACCCCTTAACTATTTAAGGTTAATTGCATCAGTTTGCTCCCGATTTTTTTAACCTCACCACCTTTTTGCTGTGAAATCTCTTTCCACGTATGATCTATCACTACCAATTCTTTATTACACACTACTCCACAGATTTTACAAGAATCTCTACCTGCACCTACAAAAGAAACATCAAGTTTTCATTTTCTCACACGTACCTGTGTGCAATGCTCCAGAACCCCAGGGTGTTCATCATCATTAAGGAAGCCAAGAAGAAGAAGAACCTCTCCAATTTGCCTTCGTGCAGCAAGTGTGGGAACCAGCTGCCTGGAAAAGCAGACATTTGCAGCAGAGTTAGTTTGCCTTGCAGCACAGGATGTGGAAGACAAGGAGAGAACTTGGTGTGAGCCACAATCCCTACAGGTGTTGATACAGATTTCATCCTCACAGCATCCACGGGGGGTTTTTGAGTCTGCTCTGGCTTTGCAGGCAGGCAGTAGAGATCTAAAGAAACTAAAGAATGTCCCTAATAAATCTGAAAACCTAATCCTGCAAGGCTACTGCTGTAATGACTCAACCATCTTCCATCTATATCATCCTGTGCACACAGATAAGTCAAAGTCAACTGTGAAAATTTTAGGAAGAGCTAAAATTAAGGTGGGCTGTAGAGATCTTTACTTCCATCTCTCATGCTGTTAATAATCTCTTTTTAGTCTCTATTATAAAGAATATTTTTAAAACTCAAAATATTAAAGCATTCACTCAGTGCCTTGGATGGTGCTCCATCACCAAGACACCACCTGACATTTTACTCTCCCTTTCTTTACAGCTGCCTTTAGCCATGAGCCTGTAAGGTGTCCTTTTCTTTCATTGTCTATTTACACAAATCAGACCTTTTTCAACCAAGGTTTCTGAAAAACCCTTGTGTCTGGGCCATTTTGGCACTCCATCCAGCAGAGGACATGCACACAGAATTCCCTGCCTGGGGTATTCCCGTGCACTCCAGTTTGTGGCTGCATTGCTTTCAGTGTTGATCACTGCAAACAAGCCCAGGTGGCAAATAACTGAAGAAATCAAAATGGTTAAAAACAAAGCCAGCCCCAGACAGTCTGCAACTGAATACAAGCAGTACCTGAAGTGCCATAATCAACTACAGCAAAACCATCAAACCAAGGGGGAAAAGAAAAACTAACAAAGTTCCAGTGGAAATTGAAGTTACAGAATATCAGAGACCTATACAGTGCTGTAATGATCATGTACATGATTGGGAATAGAGGATATTTATTGCCTTTGAAGAAGGCAGATAGACTGTCTTCATTAGCAATTAATGAAGAAATGCAGAGTGTGAAACAGCTGGTGCTGAGAATGTGATGTCCACACTCTCCACAGCTCGGGGGGTTCACATCAGAGCAGTTCTCATTAACAGCTGGAACATATTAGACATGAACATATTTTTTTTGTTGTTCAGTTCCCTCTAAAAAGAATTCAGTTGTTTTCATGCTCCAAGATCATTCTGTGATGCAAATCAGAGCTTATTAAGAGATTTAGATCAAAAGCACACCCCTGATCTGAACTGTGCCAGCATCAGTGTGCCCAAAGTCACCTTCCTGTGCTGCATAAAAGTCTGGTATCAAATCCTGCCCATCTAAATTGTGTGGCTATTCCCTCCTTGAATGAGCTACTGGGAAAGAAGGGAGACCAGCCTTCTTAGCACAACTGTATTGTAAAACCCTGATGGCCTTAACAGATCTTCTGGCCACTAATGTCACTTTTGCACATTGATTGCCATCCTTAAATTGTTAATATTTTTCTAATTAGAGACAAAGAGCAGTTCCACAGCACAGGAGAGACACCAAAGGATTACACCCTGCTGAACACACATTCATATATTTACATTTTTCTCTTCCCTCCACGTCTGAGAGCTATAAACACATTTCTTTTCAGAGCTGTTGCCTTTAGTTCTCCTGGGACTGACAGAACAACTGCCATCAGTTTTCCTAAGCTCCTCCACAGTTCTCTCCATGCCATGTTAACTTTTTTTTTGCTTGCCACAGGGCAGCACCACCACACCTGTGCCTGCTCCCTTCCTTCTGCAGCGTTATCTCAGAGCCAGCTTTAAAAACCCATCATCTTACACTGCAAGTTGACTGAGCTCCTAGGTGCTGTAACTTCATTTTAGTAGCTTATAAACTTTTACTGTCATCATTCACAATCAGGTAGTTTTTCATTTTGCACCCCTCAGGGGCCAATAGGAGGCAGAGACAGAGCCTGTGGATGTGATGAAAGAGAAATCATGCATGGGGGTCTGCAGTGCAGCTTGTCAAAGCAGAGCTCACACTGCCTGCTAGGTTATTCACCTTGGCTAGGCTAACTACAGGAGCAGCAGGAGCTTCCTAATGGAATGGCATTTACAGTGCAACCTGAACAGCAAACATACACTTAGAAAGTTAATAAAAACAATTTTGCAGCTTCTGAGTTTCCAAGCTCCACTTGCCCCATTCTCTGTCTTATCAGTGCTAAAGGCAGAAGAGAAAAGCACTGTGACTGGGCTGGTTGCTTCTATGGGTAGGATGGAGAGCAGGAGATTTGGATTTTACTCCCATTTCCCCACAGGCTTCCCTCCATGGCCTGGGTCAAAGATCCTGGCTCTGCCTCCCCCCTTCTTCCTTTAGGAGTTGCCAGTGTTTAAACAGGCCAGGATAATGACAGAGAGCCTTTGGAAAATCCAAAGGACCAACAGCACAGGGAAGGACAAAGCCAGACAGGGCATGGTGAGGCTCCAGCTGCCACAGAGAACACCTTTTCTCTCCAGGTTCCTGCTCTGTCCAAAGCAAAGTAGGACCAAGGCTTTCTTGTCCTCTCAGAGAGGGACAAGAAGGTTTGTTAGGGATAGACCTTCCTCTACAGAGGAGCAAGGATGCCAGCAGTCCTGAGGATATCCAGACTGTAATCCTTCCAGTGCACATTTCCATCAGTGGATGCAGTAAAACTTAACATAACTGTTTCCTACTTTCAGCCAAAAAAATTACTTCTCACTCTTTTTTCTTTCATTACTTTTCTTTTTAAATCTTTTCTCCCCCACGAAATGGGGGATAAACTTGGACTACATTTACATCTACTTATGCTCACTTTACAGAGAACCCTCTCCTCTGCTTGCAGGAAGCCTTGAGAGAAGAGAGTCATCAGTGCTAAAACTTCACCCACGTGTTTCAGGCACCAAAACTCCCTTGAGATGCTCTCACCCCTGACCCCAGTGACACCTCCCACGAGCTCTCTGCAGACCCCAGCACCCTCCTCTGGCTGCCTTGGGGCTCATACCCTCAGGATATGACTCTGAGCCATCAGCATCAGGGTCTCCCTGGGCCACTTTTTTGGTTTTGCTGGAATTGGGCACCCCAGGCACTTTAGTGATTGAAGGGTCCAGCACTTTCCCATCCTCGCCTCAGCATGCAACATGCTAACAAATCACTTTTCCCCAAAAGATACTGCCTTTGGGCTCTGTGCATCCTTTACTTTTCTGTGGAGATTGCCAACAGAAGTGGCAATTACAAGGTTGGTTTGTCACACAGATAATTGCTCACTGGGAATTAACTTTCCACAACAAGCTCCTGATTTCCATTCTCATTCCAACAATAGAAATACTTAGTAGCATGAATCACCACAAAGAAACAGAAGCTTCCTTGAGGTGCACAATTTTAAATAGACTTTCTCTACTGGTTAGAGGTGAATTGGTTATGTATTTTATGGCAAATTTAGAACAAGTTAGAAAATGAAGCCTAGGCAGAGTCTGTTCCTCAAGTCTGCTCTACAATCATGGAAATAAAGCACCTGGTCAACTTTCACTGACATTTTGGATTCCTATCAATTTTGCATCGAAATCACTCAGTTGAAGAAGGAATAATTTACAACACCGAGAGAAAACAACTGATCTACTAAAACAGGCAGAGGTGGAAGTGAAGCACAGATTAGGACACGAACAAAAACTTTGCTGGGCTGTTTCTGGTGGGTGCCTGACAGCAAGGAGCTGCTGAACATCGAACAAAACTTTAAAAAGGGCCAGCCTGTGACAAATATTAGTGCACACAACATTGCTGCTGCTGTGGTGGCACCCCAGAGAGCTCAAGGCAAACTTGCACTGGGAGGCATGCAGGATTTTTTGCTGAATAACATTATCTTATTTTTTATTAAAGGGAAAACCTCAAAGAAACAAACAAGGCAGTCACATGCCAGAAGTTCCTCTATCCTGTACCATTCTTGCATTTTTGCAGCTATCCTACAACCTATGCTGTGATTATAGAAAAAAAAAATTAATTCATCTTTTATAAAAGGTTTGCATTGCCTTCCTTCATTTCATCAACTTAGTGGGCATATATTCAGTGTTTAATCATATCCAAATTAAAGTCTCACTCTGCATCTAATCCCTATTAGCTAAGTAGGCACCAGTGGCCACCACCATCTGGACTGCAAGAAATATCCTTTAGCTTTATCATCTTTGGTATTCAGAATCACACAGGACTAAAATGATAAAAAGAACCCAAAAAAAAAAAAAAAAAAAATCAACTTAAAACAAAACCCCAAAAGCCCAAACCCAAACCACAACCCCTCCCAGTGATTCTCTAAATATAAGCAGGAAAACTGTGTCTGGGACAGTTTCCTTCCTCTCTTCCTCTGCCCTTTTTTAAATTTTTATTTCTCTTTCTTACATATTTATATTAATATTTTTAGAGAAATGTATTCTGAAATGATTGGCATAAGAGGACAGGTTTTGTCTTGCATCTTCTTCCGTTAAAATGTTAGGAGAGGTAAGAGATCCAAAAGAAAGCAGTTTCCCAGCTTGTACTGAAAATATCACTGTCACCCATCATCTGTTTGCACTCGTCAGATTTTTTTAAAAAAAGTCTTATTTTATCATATTCACACCATCCTCCATAGATGCGTTAAAAATGATTAATGCAGATTTGACTGTGACTGATATCTGATCAACTTTGCCAATAAAAACCCAAATAAAATTCTAAACTGGTGGCACGAAATAGGATATAAAAATGTTTAAATTTTGTCAACACCCTCTGTGCTTCAACACTTCAAAATACACAGTGGAGGATCTACTTCTCTGCAGGAACATGGAAAACATGGTCTCAGTGCTCAGAGATGGAAAAACCAGAAATAGTCTTGGCTCAGGTTTTAGTGAAACAAGAATCTTGGGACAAGACAAAAGCATTCATAGCCCAAGCATCACTCACTAAGCCTTGTTAAATCTCACAGAACCAATTCATCAACACCAACCTCTCCTCCAGCAAAAGAGAAAGAACTTGCTCTTCCAATAGAAATAAATTAGTAAATTAGCTGAGCCTTTATTTAGGAAGAAAAAAAAAAGAAAAAAAAAAAAGTTCTGGTTGGTCTGCTTTACTCCCAGTTTCATAAATTGTCCAGGTACTGAATATTTACAAGCTCCTTACACAGATATGAAAAAAATCCCACTAAACCAAATGTGAGTAAAAAAAGCTTAATTTCTGTCATTGGACTGTAATTTGACTTGAGAGGCCACAAATGTGTTCCCTACAGCAGTCATCTTTAGGGGGTTCATTAGGCAATTTAATAAATTTAAATAAACTTAAAGATATTATTTTGCTGATTGTCATGAAAACCCAAGTCCACTTGGGAGAAATACAGGTGGAACAACAAAAAAAAGTGTGTATAACATTTCCTACCAAACTAAGAGAAATCCAAAACTGAGCCTAAAATGCATTTTTTGTTTTGCTGTTGTCTATCCCCACCTCCAAAAGTGTGACCCTAAGCCTACTCTGATTTAGGAGTCAGCAGAACAGCCTGGGATGAGCAGAGGAGCATTATAACACATATGAACTTACAGGAATATCTCCATCATTTGCAAATGGATTGTGATAACTTGGAATTATTAATCTTATTCAAGCCAGAAACACTGGGAAAGAGATACCCAAATAATTTTAAAAATAAAAAGTGAGAGCCCAGTAATATGTTGTTTACATATTAATAGGGCACATAATCTCTAGCACTCTTCTAACTACAGCAACAGAGCAATCACTAAACATTTTCCACTTGATTTTCCCTGAAGCTTTCCAAGTTTTGCAGAGGACTTTTCCTGCTTGGCTGCAGTCATTGCCATCACAGCACCTTAATCTGAATCCACAGTCCCTGAATCCCTTGGAAATCTCAGAAATCTCAGAAATCTCAGAGTGGTTTTTGCTCAGGATAATGGTGCACTCAATTTCACCTACATCTGACAAAGCTAAACAAAGACATAACTTACAGCTTTGGAAAAAGGGAAAAAAAAAAAAAAAAGAAAAAAAAAGAAAAGCTGAGTTGAGAAGTTTGCCACCCAACTTTCTAAGAGTGAGGAATTATTTTAGCCAGGAAACTTTTCAGTTTGCTCAAGAATCCTGAGCAAAAGGAGATAGAACGTGGCAACTGCAGCCTGTGGAGAATTTAGAGCTCAGCCTGCTTGGTCTCAGCCAGGATAAGAACTCACAATCTCTGATAAAACAATATTTTTGGCAAGAAAAGAACATTTGCTTTTTTGAATCGATTAAATGATTTCATACAGACTCACGGCAAAAGGATTAATCACCTTGATGGAAAACCAGGCAAAAATCTACTCAATTGCAAATCAAATGTAAAAAAATTGGTTTACTCTATCACAGAGTACAGAAATACTTTGAAAAGAAATTAATTAAATAATAGTGACACAACATAGGCAAAATATTTTGGTGCTGACATTATGCTTAATTATTTTGCAATTATCTAATTATTTCCAAAGTCGAATTGCAGTAAAATGTGTCAGTTTTACTTAATATTTCAATCTCATAAAAATTAAGTTTCCATACTTTGAGGGGAGAAAAAAATCAGCAACACAGTGTGTCTTAAAGTGTTTGTTTCATTTACCCCATATTACACTGAACTCACAATAATGAAAAATCACCTTTCCCACTGGGGGATATTCAAGGAGCTCAGTTCTCCACACTGGATGTCTTGGTGCTTAATAGTTCTTTGCCTGATTCATTTGTATAAACATTCCTGTTTTTTTACTCATCACCAGGTGATGTTCTATACCTTGTAATAAAATTTTAATTGAATTTTTAACTTGGAAACAGGACTGCTTGTCAAAGCATCATTTGCTTGTTCAGATCTTAGGAGTAGGAATAAAAATTTCTTGTCACACTTTCAAAAGACCCACTTTTGCTTGTTTTTGAATTACATGAATCTTTACATAGGAAAGGGAGGAACCTAAAATTTTAACCTTCAACAGTTAAAAAACCCTACAGCTGTGGCAATTGCAGCTGCATTAGGGCCAGCACTTGTGCTCTCTAAAGAACAGTTCTCTGCAAGAGTTCCACCAGAGCTTTGGAAATATTCCTTCAGCAAATGGGACCATCTCAAATCTGTGAACAAAGGGATCCTGTCCCTCCAGTGCTTCACTTGTTAAATTTACTTGTGAAACAAGTCTTTTCTGTATTGAACGAAGATTCACCAGCAAAGGAAAAATGACTTTAAGAAAATTCCTGGCTTATCTTGAAAGTCAGTAACTCGGGAACAACTCCAGTTCAGAACTCCCACTGAATACACCTCAACAGGCCGAATATGCAGTAATTCCTTGGGAAAAAAGGATTTTTCTGGGAATTGCAGCATCCACCTGCAAAAGGGCAAGCCCAGAGTGAGAGAGTGCTGTCACAGAATGTGGCTTTTCCAGCAGCTGGGCAGACCCAGAGGGAAGCAGTGGGTCCAGCAGAGAGAGCTCCCCAGACAGCTTCAAAACCTTCCACCCAACCTGCTGCTCCCTGGGACACACAGGCTGCAATATTCTCCATTTTTTTAAAGCACAGATCTTGCTCTCGAGGCCAGAGGCTTCCATGTAAGTGTGAATAGCACGAATGCACTTCTTCATGAACATAAAAAGGTGCTCCCTAGCCAATTTATTTTCAGTCTTCCAGAACACAAGTACAGAGATTGGACAGGAGGACTTCCTGCAAGATGCCATCCTCTAATTACTCCCACTATCAAAACGAAGATGACTCATTAAAATTGGATGAGTACAGCTGGAAGGCTATTTTCTATCTTAATTCCATCTTAATTGTGAGAGCAAATCAATAAAACTTTGGCATCCCTTTTAATTCTGCTGCCTGATTCTCCAAATCAATAATATTAGAAAGCTGCTCAGGAACACCCATCATGAGCATACTCTTACCTTGAGTGCCTGCGTGGGCTGTCTGAACAAAGAGAGCTCCCATAAAGCAGCCAGCTCCATTAAAGAGGGCTAAAAAATGCATGGAAATCCCTCTCATTCTTTCAGGCACAAGCCAGAAGGAAAGTAAGGAACCTAAGGAAGGAAGCAGATACAGTTATAAGTTAAAAAAAAAAATAAAAACAAGGAGTTAAATGATGGTAGAACATAGGTAACACAGAACAAAATTCAAAGCATCTCTATCAATGAATTTCCATATTTTATACAGAGAATATACTTGCAGAAGAGCAATCAGATGTATCCTATTATGTTAATATGTACCCTATAACAAAGCATTACCTAAACTGCTTAAATGAATATCTGCAATAAACTATCCACATACAGCTGTCCATATTCCACAAATCTTCCACCCAGACATTTGCTTGCACCTTTTAAAACCTGAGGCACGAGCAGGGAAACACCAGCAGTCAGTAAGCATGAAGAGAAGGGATCTGATATTTAACTGCAGAACAGCAGGACCTCCTATCTCAGAGCCAGAACAGCACAGCCACTAGTAAATAATTCCAAAATCTAGAGCTCTGCTTTAATTTGGGCAATCAGCTTGCTTTACCTTAAGGCTGGACAATGCTGCTGTTCCCAAAGTGCAACCCCCAGGCTCATTGGCTCATTTTTAAGACTTTTTCTTCACTTTCTTGCCAGAAGGCTGAACCAGAAGCAGCAACAGCTTTGGTGGAGAGGGGAAGCTGTAGCATGCTGCTGTAGCATGGGTGACTATAAATAATCCCACCAGCTGTAATTTGGTTCTAACAGCAAGACTTTATGATAGCTGCTCTTTTTGTGCAGTTTTCACTGATCATCAAAAACTTCTGTTTCCTAATTTCATTCCTTGAGTTCTCCACATTTTTACTCCCAACCCCAGAGTCTCCCCACCTGCTTTATTAGTTGAATTAGAATGACCTCCAGCTTGAAAAACTTGCCAGCAGAAGATGCTATTTGGATGCTGAGATGCCCGAAGCACCTCTGAATACAAATGAAACTTTGCAATCACCATCTTTCACCATTTTTTAATTTGGATATCCAAATGAGAGCTTTGAAAAAATATTAAAAAATACCACAGACAGCGTTTTCCTCATTGAAAATAGGAACCAGAAGCCTGAGAGCAAGAGAAAGCAGGTGAGCCTGGGGCACCATGTAGGGCTGCAACAGTCTGAAGCATTCACAGCTAACTTGAGACACTAAAAGACTTAAAAGTTTCTGATTGTTCCTCCCTTCTAAAAGCAGGAGTGCAAAACATGCATCTTGGTCAAATTCAGCCTGGGTAATTGCATCCTACTTACCTAAATTACCCCTGCTGTGTCAATAGGCTGCTCCAATGCTCCCTTTCCCCACGGTGCTGCTGGAACTATTCAACAGCTGCTGCATTTCCCCCTGGGGACTATTGCATTTCATTGGTGGGCAAAGCCATCCCCAATATATCCTCTAACTAACAGAGCTGGAGTTTCCTGCTTTAAAGCAGGCTAGGGTTACAAATTCAGCCTGTCAAAGGCTGGGGAGAGCTTTGTAGCAGTGTGGAGGAGAGCAATACCATTGTTTCATTTTATTTTATTTTGTTTTTAAGACTTTCTTAGGGGCAGATATTATTCTAAGAGATGCTCGTGCCACCCGAAGCAGATGATTATTCAAAACTATCAACAAGATAATGAAACATAATTATAAACATAGTTTTAAGTAACAGAGACCAAATTATAGAATAGCATGGGTTGGAAGGGACTTTAAAGGTGATCCAGTCCCAACCCCACTGCCATGGGCAGGGACACCTTCACTAAACAAAGCTACTGAGAGCCCAACCTGGCCTTTAACATGGCCAGGGATGGGAGAGTCACAGCTTCTCTGGCTAACCTGTGCCAGAACCTCACAGAAAATAATTTCCTCCTGATATCTAATCTAAACCTACTCTCAGTCTGAAGCTGTTCACCTTTGTCCTGTCACTACATGCCCTTGTAAATAATCTCTAGCTCTCTTGTAGGCTCTTGTCAAGCACTGAAATGACACAATTTGGTCACCTTGAAGCCTTCTCTTTTCCAGGCTGAACAACCCCAATAAGAGAGATCTTAATGAAGATAAAGAATTCAATGTGCCAAATCTAACCAACCTCTTCAGAAATATCTCCTTTCCTCCCTCTGCTTACAAGAGTGAACATTTCCTCTTCAGCTTGGATCATGTACTTTCAGGTCCAGTAAATTATTATAATTCAATTTGACCTTCTGCATACAAAAGGCAGTGAAATGTCAGGAAAGGTGAGACAGCTCTGGAAGTGTCTGTGCTGTCACTAACATCCATGGATTCCCTGGATGGTTCCTGAGCAGCAATTCAGTTCAAACTGGGGAAAACCTGGGGGAAAACCAGGCTCTTCTCCAGCAGCAGCTGGAAGTAGCAGACTGCAGGGAGCCCTCTTGCCCTGCCTGCACAGCCAGGACACTGCAGACACCAATTTGTGCCATGAATTGAGGCTTTCTTCCAGCTACAGCAATATCCTCTTTTAGGCACCTCCCTTCAGCTTTTTATCTGCAAGTCTCCCGTTCAGACTGAGTCCCTTTTAGCTGGGTTCTTAAGTCACACCTCTCACTGCAGCTCTAAGCACGATGCTTAATCTCTACTTAAATGGGAAAGGACAGCTTTTCTTCCCAAGGAATTCTAACCACAATCCTTTAAAGAAGATCTTAAAAAAAAAAAAAAAAAAAAAAAAAAAAAAGAAGAAACCCCCAAAGATGGAGTTTTATTTCTTTTCTAAAGGCTAATGTAATCTTGCAGTCATTGGACTGCAGTTGTGTCCCAGTGTGCTAGATTAAAAGGCCTTATTCTACCAGCAATATTCTTCTCATGCTTTTGCATGAGAAGACTGTAAGCAAGTCACCTCCTAACCTTTTTTTTTGTTAAGCTAAACAGAGAAGGTCACAGTTTTCAGTTACACTTAGCCTGTAACCTAGAAACCAAATTACCTGCCTAGAAACCTGTCTCAGTTAAGTACTTGAGAGCTATCAGATGAAGAGGCATTATGAAAGTGCTAAGTATTTAAAACTAGGGAAAATTACCTTTTTAGTGACAGACTGTGACCCACAGCTCTCAGTAGTCTCAGAGTATAAGAATGAAGCTGAGACACTGAAGTTATTTCCTGCTCTTAAATAAAAACCTGAACATTTCTGGGGTTGTACTGGAACAAGAGGCACTCAACCCATAGAATTAAATGCCTGCAGAGATCAACCAATCAATTACATTACCTGTGTCTCTAAGTGAATGCTGCTTAGATTATTTTTATAATACTAACATTTTTTTTTTAAGCTCTGCAAGGTAAAACACTGCTAAGCACTCTGCGTGCTCCTCAGAAGAGAATAAGCCTCAAATATCAGTGTAGACACAGAAAAGTAAATTATGGAAAGCAGGAAAGGTTCAGACTCACAATCAAGGGTATGAGCACGTAATGTGTGGATGGCAGGCACAAGCTGAGCTCTGAAAAGCAGGTGGGTTTATGTCTGGCTCCATGTCACAAGCTAAGATGTGAGGATCTGTGGAGGCATGTTCTCATGACTCCCAGCTGGAGCACTGACACAAACCTTGCAGCTGCCTACACCATTCTCTGGGTTAACCCATCACTGTCACCTGCCCACATGTGCTCTGTGCCAGTGAAAAACATGTAATAATTCCAGGGCTCAAAAATGAAAGGTGTTCAGTTCAAAGCCTCACCTTGCTCTGGCTGTGGCCTTTAAATGGTCCCAGAGCACAAGCACAGCTCAGCCCTCTCGTGGTTTTTTTTGTTCCATCTCAATAAAACCATCACAGGAGTGTTCAGGTGAGAAGGAGCCTCAGGAGCTCCTCCAGCCCAGCCCCTGCCTGAAGCAGGTTCAGCTCCAAGACCAAGCAGGTGATTGTCCCTTCCAGGACCTGACTGCACTGTGCTCCCTTCCAGTCAGGCTGGAACACCACTGCTCACCCTGACTTACAGCCAGCCAGACAAATCGTGCTTCTCTGAAGCAGGTAAAGCACAGATCTGCTCATAAAGCCCGTGGAAGAGAGACAGGGATAAAATATCAGATAAAATATCAGATCACAGCAATTATTTTTAGGAAGCTGGTTCAGTTCTCTGAGGATCAGGACACCCTCGCTTTAGCCTATTTGGTTTTACTTACAGGATGGAGTTACCAAGGCTTCAGCCACTCCAAGCAGGATGTACTGAGGAGCCAGGTGGAAGCAGGGCATGGAGGAGACCAGGAGAACCTCCTTGGAGAGAGTCTGCTCCACCTGGGGGAAACGCTTCCTGTGGATTTCAGAGAAGCCAGCCACCAGCACGGACAGTGCAGCACACAGGTGACCTACAACTGGGGCAAGAGCACAGAGAGCTTTCACCAGGGCTGCACCTGCAGGACCATCATGGGCTGAGAGTGGAGCAAAAACTCCTAAAAAATGCAAAAAGAAGCTTCCTACCCCCACCCCAAATCATTTTTTTCTGAACATCTAAACATGAATTAAGAGTGCTTGCTATATGGCAAAAAAGTACACCAGCTCAGCACAGAGATAATTTCAGAGTTCAGAAGAAATGAGAGAGGAAAAGCTTATCTGAAGACCAAAGTCACAAAGAAGAACTTTCAGCATTTTTTTGAAGATTGAGAGAGAAAAGGAAGGAGAAATAAAGAAGAGGCAAATCCATACAGATTATACAAGAGAAAGGGTAGGAACAAAACTATCAGGCAGCAGGAAATTCTTCCAGAACTTGGATGTATTATAAGTACCCCACATTTCACCCATTGCATAGAGGACAATATTAAAATCTATTATTTTCTATTTCTTCATGTTGGCAGTATGAAATGGTTGCATCCTCCCAGAAAAGAAAAATGCAAAGAAAGCAAAGTTTCCAAGCAAGTCTCTGAACCTGAATTACCTATACCTCTCATGGTTTGAGCTCCCACTGATTTTGACTAAAATTCTGATTTCCCAGCATTTCTAAGCCATAATGTGGGGAGAATTTGGTTGCTTTTGATAGTTTGGGCTCAAATCTTTGGACTCAGTCTTTCTTACCAAACCTTCATGACTGGTAATTGCCACACTTATCAAATTGGACACCAACAGCCAAAAGCTTTTGTTTCATATCATATTTACAACGTGTGTTTCTTCTCTCAGCACCAAAACTCTCACAGCCTTCTTCTAGCACAGTTTTCCTGAATGTTCACAGCTTTAAATATCCAACCCCCCACTACCTAACCTGAGCCTTGGAAGCTGTTTAGGCTCCTCTAGTGCTTAATGAGAATATCAGTGAATTATTGCTTGAAAATTGATGATAGGAGGGAATTCAGCAGCGTTTTCTGGCCAGTGCACCTTATCATAGTCAGGCATAAAGCCCTCAAGGAGCTTCTTGTAGTCATCCAGAGCAAGAGTTCTCTTAGTGAAAAATTATGTTGGTACTAAAGAAACCTCCAGCAGTTCAGCATTCCTAACAGTGCAACAAACTGGAAGCATTTTCCTTTACTAAAAGCCAATATATTCCTGAAAAAGTAACCTCCGGGTGCTCAAAAATTTCGACTTTTTTTTTTTTTTTCCCAAGACTTTATGGGGTAGAGAAAAAAAAACAAGAGCCTTGGAGATATGGTTTTCATCCTTACTCTTCTTCCTTTAGTCCTCTTTAAAATGAGTGGCTTGGAATGACTGGCTGAGGCTTTGGTTTTACAGGAGAAAAAGCTGTTTTAGTAATATTTAGGGGTGATTGTGAGACAAGGTTCTTTATATCCTATAGAGACTAAGAGTGTATTGGACCTTTGTGAATAAACCAACAACTAGAAAGTAACAGGTTACAGTTTTTATGTAGACCCTTAATACAGAGCAATCAGATATTTCAGTTGTCTGTGTGATTCTTCCTTGAAAACTGTTATTCTCAACATGCTGAAAATTTCCAGAAAACTAGTTAAATTTCTTCTTCTTCTTACAAGAGTTGAATTAAAATATAGTTACAGGCTGGCTTAACACCAACTTCCTATTTATACTTCCAATTTTGTTGCTGAAAATAATTGAGAACCTAATTAACTCTTGGCAAAAATATTGGCACTTAGAGGTCTACCACACTTGCAGGTGCAGTCATATACTTGGATTTCTAAAGCCATTGCCTGTACTCACAGGTATTTTTGTGCCTCAGGTAGTTTATCACCCCTAACAGGAGGCTATTTTGATAAATGAACCTATTAAGAATAAACCACTGCATATATTCTAATGCTGTTTAACATAACAGGATAGAACATTAATACTAACTTGAAATTTCCATGGTTTAAAGGAAAAATGATTATCTGAATGTGCTTTTTTGTGTTTTAATGCAGATGTTATTTTAAAAACTAGGCTAATTGCAACCTGCTGTGTTATATGCTTCTGGTTTGTATAAAACTTAATAACACTCTTAATTAGGCTAATTTAGTCAGATTAATACCTCTGTGTGTGTCAGTACTCGCTGTGCTGCCTGCCATGGGGCACTGAATTAATAGCAGCACACTGAGAAAATAGAGGTTTATAAATATTTTCATCTGAGGTTTGCAGTGCAGACTGGAAAATAAAAAATGAGGGAAGTTTAATGAGAGTATCTGTGAAAGGGAATAGGTTTAAGTGAATACAGAATGGAAGCAGTTTTGCTGCTGGTACAACATGGAGTTGACATCTGAGGAGTGTTGCAGAGGATCCCTCCAGATCCTAGAACATAAGAGGTTTAGGGGTAATTAAAAATCAAATAAATAAAAGAAACCACATTAGTGTCAAAAGAAAGCAGCCCAACTCTTATTAAAGTTATCATGGCTTTTAGGCCATGAATTTTTCTGCAATGAGTGTCAATCCACAACAGGAAAAACTTCCTTTTACCACTTCTGTGAGAACAAGGTAACATTTCACCTTTGGAGGTGCCTTTTTGCTGTGACTGAGGGTACAAAAAGGATTTTAATAATGAAAATACTAAACACTTGAACAATGACCTCATATTAGACATTCTAATGGAAACTCTAATGCTGGGGAGGAAGGCTGGACCTCTCCAAGTGACCTGTGAAATATCCATCCTGTCCAAAGGGAACAGCAGCCAGTGACACACCCCCATTTGTTTTACATAATTTTCTGCATGTTTTCTTTTGCTCATCCATTCTAAAAAAACCCCGTTGCACATACAGAATTAACCTAGATACTTTTATCTCATTTATGATGCAACTGCAGAGTCTGGAAGAAATTGTTCTAATGGTAATACAATTTCCCTCTTATGAGCTGCAGTCCTAACAATAATGCACTTATAGCATAAAAATCACAGAAAAACAAAGCCTTTATTCCTAACTGAGTTATCTGATTCCAAACTCATCATTTTGAGCAATACATTTCTCCAATATCAGAGAGCAACTAACTGAAGGGATTTTTCATTTCTAAAAAATACTGGGATTGTAAATTAACTTTCCAAAAGCCAATGGATAAAGAAATATATAGAGGATAACCAAGTCATAAAGAGTTCATACTGCTTCTCTCCAATACCAATTTCATAGGATGGCCCCTAGTTATTTTTGTGAGTGTTTTTATCAGTCAGAGGAGTCTGTCCTACACAAAAATCTATACTTTTTTCTTAATATTTAGTAAGTGTTTTCAAAACTTTTTTTTTTGTTCAATAATCCCTTTGAAACATTTACTTTTGAGCATCATCCCAAAACAAGTCCATCTTACCATTTATAGTCAGATATAATTGTGTAGGATCATCCATCACACTGAAATTTCTCTTTCAAAAACAGAAAAAGATGTTAAAGCTGTATAAACACATGCATTTTTTCACATACCAATGTAAATGGTTGGAGAATGTCCAGTGTCCTTGGAGCTAAAGAGCCATGAGTTAATGCACTCCAAAATAGGAACAAGAATCAGAAGTGGCACGATGCTTATCACATTCATTGCTGCAACTGGCAAGAAAAATCCACTGAAGTGCAAGTTGGAATTCATGGTTTGGAGATAATATCCTGAAGGAATCTGTATTGAAGGATAAAACCACAATCCATGGGTAAGATTTTCACTATATTTGGAAAGCTGTCCAAGTTTTGCCTTCTGAAGAAGTCACATTAAATCAAATACTTGCTGGCAAAAAAAAAAAAAGAATGAGCATTCATGAAGAAAGCCTTTCAGACAGTGACAATATTGTTCTCTGCCAGAACACAACATTTCCCTTTTGTAAGATTTTTCTCCTACATTTAACGAATTAAGCAACAGTCTAAAAGTTTATTTGATCACCCCTAATTAGGGCCATCAGCCAATATACTAAATAATTCCACCCAAAACTTTAGTCACTTCACCCAGTCAGTGTTTAACAAAACAGAATCTTAAAACAGCAAAATGCAGAGTGATTTGATTTTGGAACTGCAAGGCACAGAGTGATTTTGGACTTATGATTGTGTGCTCAAGGTAAGAGCACTTTAAAAGCTCCAGGGAATGAAGATTTGGGTACAGCCTTAGAACCAGCTGAATACAACTCACAGTCAGAGCATTTATGGAGGACTTTTCACCTGGGAAAATGGAAACCAAAGACAAAAAGAAGCAGATGAGGAACCTCCCAGTGGCAGCCCAACAGGGCACACAATTAAATAGATTTGTAAGACTCTCTCACTACAAAAGCAAGTAATTCCTCTGCTTGTGTGAGCCTATACAAAAGAGCTGTTGAGTTTATTAAAAAAAGTGTCAAATCAAAATCCCGATGGCTTCTAGCAACAGATTTACAGATTTTTATTTTTGTTTGTTTGTCCGGGATTTTTTTGAGGAAGCTTGATTAACTAATTTCATGTGCAGCACGGAGCCATAATCCACTCAATTTTTCAGACTGGAAAGCTCCAACTCAAGCAATTCACAGAGCATAGTCATGACAGAACTCAACCTAAGAGTGGATTTTTTTACCCTGTATCTGTTTTTACTGAGTTCTGGATTCCTGCAGCACCCTGCACACTCTTTAATATGATCAGTGACATCAAACCCAGGTAGAATATTGTTGCTTTATAGATATCTGAATATTAAAGCATAGTTGTTACCTGAGCTCGTGTAGGGTTTCTCATCAATGCTTATAGTCAACCCTACCCACTGTGAGTCTGTTCAGTGCTCAAGAATTACTCCAATGCTAGCTCTTAAAAATATTTTTCACCTACATTGCACCTCCAGAAGGAAATGCAAATTGTAAAAGAGAATAAATAGCAACAGAACTATATATGTTTAGAATTGAGTCAAATTTTGTTGGTTCCCTTTTTCCAATGCTTATTGCAAATAAGAATTAACTTCTTAATAGGAATTAAAATATCATCATAATGAATCATAGGCAGTGAAAGCTGTTAAAATGAAGAAAATACTATTAATCTTTACAAAAAAGATACTGATCTATCTCCGAGTTTGTGAAATAGCCTTAAACTTATTGGAAATTCTGCCAAAGGATTAATTTATTTCAGCAGTGGAGAAACATCTATATTTTCTAGAGAAATACTTTATTACAAACTTGATAAATGATAATATCTGCTTAATTTTCATGTGGTCACTAATGCATAACCTTGGTCATGTATGTGTGTTTGTTGGGTTTTGAATGGGTTTTCTTTTGGTTTGCTTGGGATTTTTTTTGTGCCTTTGGGGGAAGGGAAGAAATGGGGAGGGAAGAGCAGAAAGAATGAGGCAGATGGATGAGAACATGGAGAGGTGGCATGAGGAAGTGAATTATACTGAATTATAGCTTATACTGAAGCAGTATAAGCCACAATATTTGTAATAATTTCCTTAAGCAGCATTTTAACACCAATGAGTAAAAATGACTTCCTGAGCTGGCTCATAAACTAATCCTTCCAGTTGCCAAAGGGCAACCAGCTACCTGCAACTCCTGCTCAGCCAGGATCATCCAGACAGAAAGGAATCTGAGGAGCTTCTTGACACATTTCCATTTATATCACACTCAGAGGAGCTGTGAGAGGACATTTCCCACAAATGGAAACCCACCCACTCCCACTGTGGGCACAACAGCCACACGAGCCTGTCAAAACAGTAGGAGAAACATGCAACCAAAACAGCAAACAGAGATTGTACTACCTCTCCTCAAAAGGGAGGGAACACTTAGGAAATTGGAAAATTGTATTTTTTCAATAGCCTGAGTCTCAGAGTTGGTAGGTGTGACATGGCATCATGAGGAGAACAGGAGGGTTCAGCCAGTGAAAAGGTCCCAAGAAAGGAGTAGCAAGCACTCATGTGAGCTTCTTAATGAGTCCTGACCAAACCAATTTTGATTATTTGAGAAGATCAGAGGCTCCAGCAAGGTATACTCTTAGGCAATTCAAGCTACTCTGCTCAGCTGGCAAAGCAACAATTAGAAAAAAACCCCCACACCTGGAGAGATAACATGAAACACGTGCCAGAGCATCTCACGGCTTGTGCTGAAAAGCTGTGCACCCACCTGCATAATGCACGTCCTGTACAGGATCTGGAAAGTGAACAAGGGGAAGAGTCTGGTGAGTGATTTGGTGCCTTCCACCTGGCTCTCACTGTAGTGGCCACCGTGGTTCTCCTTGGCCAGGTCCAGCCAGCTGCCCGTGCTGAAATAGCGATGGCGCGCGCAGCTCGTCCTCAGGGCACTGACAATCACCCCAAAAGTGGTCAGCAGGGAGCTGTCTGCAGGCAAGCAGAGAATTCCACATCAGTGTGTCTGCTGTCGAGATAAACCACTTTGGGAGGGAAAGCACGAGCTGGTATTGTCACCTTTAGAGGGAGGGAAAATGTAACTACTCTGGATTTGTTTAAAAAATTCTGGTTTTGAACCCAGTTGGTTCACAACCCAATCCTGTGCAACAGCCACAGAGAAAAGTGCCTTTTATCACCAGTTATTTAACACATCACAATGTGTTTCTCTGGTTGAGCAGGTAAAGTATTCATTTCCTTTGCTTCTTCTTTCCATTTATTGGATATCTGCTGAATGCCTGCTGAAGTCCAGTAGCAAGGAAGGGGCAGCAGCAAAGTAAGAAGGAAAAGGAGTTTAAAAAGCAGTTGATGAGTTCAGAGAATTTTCATGGATGAATTTAAAACGCAGAATTTTCATCTCGGGTCTTCCAAGTAGCATGCAGGATTACAGAGGAGTTTCCAGTCTAGTACTTGGATTATTAAAACTTATTGACTGGTTACTGGGTTCAGGAGTTGCTACCTTGGTTCTCAGATGAAATAAAAGTAGAATGAGCACAAAACTGTTGGCTTCAGGCTTGGGAATGCAGGTTCATTTACCTTTGGCAAATTTCCATCCATGCAAATAGGGGTTATAGCACTTCTATGCTTTTCTGAGTGCTGAAGCACTACAATAAGTTGAGCATCTATAAATACTTTCCAAAACCCAAAATGAACTAAGATTGCAGAATGAAAATCTCTCCCTACTATCTCTGATGTGGAAATAATTTTTTGGGAATATCAATTGACACCTACTGGAAGCACTTGCTTTAAAGTACTAAGTAAGGGCATTTTATTACTAATACACTAATATTTAAAACTCCCTGGCTGCGGGGTATTAACCTGCAGAATGTTGTCACTATGGAATAAAATCTGAAATAGCATCTCAAAACCTGAAAACAGAGTTGGCAGAGTTTCTATTGTTCTGTAGGACTGTACTAGGCAACTATTCTCACCACTCATTGTAAGTGATGTTTAAGTTTCAGACTTGGATTATTTTAAGAATAAATCTGAAGATGAAAAGAAAAAAAAGTGCAGAATTCCAGAATGAATTGACTAAGAAGCTAACCAAAAAACAAGTGGGACGTGGGGCTCTTCTCAAAGCAGTGTAAGTTTCAGAAGTAAATAAAAAAGACAACAGGAAACTTGGTATTAGCTCAATACATTGGCAGAGCTTGCAATGAGATGTTTTAAGTTAGAGAAATGCTATTTTGCTTTGCCCTACACTAGAGGTGGGGCATGCACAGAAAAGGAATAAGGAGCAGTCATGTGGTGTTACTGCTGTGCCAGGGTTTGAAATCAGAAGATGAAGCCCAGCAGAGAGCTCAGTAAAGCAGCAGCACAGCTGTGCCCTGGCTCAGCTGACCTCATGGTCATGGCCATCTCCTTTCCTTTGCAATGAGAGGGGCTGGGCAGACAAGAGGTTGAATGAAACGTGACCAAATCAATTGCAGCAGCAGCAGGCACGTTACACCTCTGCCTGCACAGGCAAAGGCTGTGGCACATGCCCTGACACTAAACAAACATGAGTTTGCTTACCAGAGACTGCTTCCCACTTCTACAGCACACCCAGAATCTCCAGAGGATGGATATCATCTCTCACATGCAGATTCTGGAGGGCTAAAAGCCAAGGATCTCCAACCAAGCAGGGCAGAGTTATGGAAGGATTAGTTCAGATATCCAAGTTGATTTATTTCGTGAAAGTCATCTCTAAAGATATTCCCTAAAACAGAGCTCCCTCTCACCTGTTTTGGGTTTGTAAATCATGTCACCCCGAAGCATGTGAATTGTGATCATAGCCATAAGCCCAGACACAAATGGGATAAGAAAGCCAAGGTTCCTGGCCACAGACTGCTGGATGTAGGAAATGCTGACAAAGACCACTGCTGAATTCAAGTTAACCAGCCAGTGAAACCTGGAACACAGAGACAAGAGAGAGAAAAGTGGAGAGGCTGAATAATAAAAAAGCCTTTACAGAAGATTAAAACATCCAATTAAAGGCATGGTTAAGTATAGTAATCATGGACAGCATCAGTACCATGCACACATTAGCACAGCAATTAAAACAGATTTTCACTCAAATGTCTCAGCTCCAAGAGGTGTATGATTAAAGTAAGTGTACTAAGGCAGTAGAGCTGAACAAATTATCAGTCTAGTACTGGAAATATTCTTGTGGGTGACATTAATTAAATACATCAACATTTACCATTTGCACATTTAATATCTGGTAACAAGTTTTGTGTATGAAATATTATCAAATCATATGCTTCGAGCTTAAGAGAGAAATGTCTTAATGACACCACCCTTTGGTTAGGAAATACTAAATGTTAAAAAAATGTAGGAATTATTAAAAGTTGATCTAGTACTTATTAGTTGCAAGGATCAGCTTGAATTTTTGTTGGCTTCTGGAATATCTTGACAAGGACGGTCCCCAACACAATTTTCTCTGAGACAGTATTTGGTAGTAGAGGTAAGTACTGAGCCCCTCCTAATCACAGGAGACATGCAAAGGATAAATCACACACTCCTGGAAGCAGATGGCAAACCTCTGGTGACCTCCTCTGCAGTTTGTAACCCCTGAAAACAGCCCAATTATTGAGCAGTACTGTCCCAGGGTGTCACAGATTACAGTCTGGAAGCAGCTGCAAGAAGAGACTCCTTTGCCTTTGCTGGAGCCATAGCAAAATGGTTTCATTTAAAGGTGAAATACACAATTATAAAGCTTAATGCATATTACTGCAAGAAGCAAAGCTCATTTTCTTGTTCAATGCCACTTCTGCATCATGCATGCTGTTTGAACTTTAGTATTTGGGCTAATGAATCTAGAATTATCTTCTCAGTGACAAAAGATTTGGAATTATGTTACTCGATAATGATACAGTTGGAGGCATTTTGTACATAAAAATATTGACCCATTCAACTAAAGCTTTAAAAAATTAATAATTACACGGCTCATTTGGCTAGAACTTATGTCAAAGTTTTGACTCAATTCTTAACTGACAATTTTTATGTGAGGAGCTTCAGTGGCTGTTTTCCAAACTTTCTAAAGAAGCGTGCCCGAGTTCCCTGAAGTCCTGACATCCTCCACCAGTGTTTGACTGGAAGTAGGAGCATCCAAAAAACCCCTGGAGTACAGCAGGGCACTTCCATTTTTCACTGAAGCATAGCAATGTACTTTAAGACTGAAATGTAGATTTCCTGTCCTCTTACAAAAGTGAGGAGACAAAAAACCCCAACCAATGAGTTTAGCAATCCCTCTGGCCAAACCAAGAAAGATGAACTGACCTCAACCCACAACCAGAACCGTGGGATGTGCTCATGCTGTACTGACAGCAGCAGATCACTATTCCTGCCTTTGCTGCATAGAAGGGCTCAGAGCTCACATCAGGGCAGGGCAGATGAGTTAGAGACACCAAACCTGAGATCCTGTCCAGCTTGGCAGGGAACAGCTCCTTCCTGAAGCTTCAGCACTCTGAGGCCTCTTCACAATGAGAGCCAAAAGCCAACTTGAGAGGATCATTTCAAGAATGCAGTCCAGACACAAACTTAAATGCTACAAGCCCACATAAACCCAAAACTCTTCCTAAAATGTTGTACAGAAATGCATTTGTGGGGAACACTTTAAAGAAGTAACACCCAGGTGATTCTTACTGGAAAATATTGTTTATGTTTATTCATCTTTGTAGGAGGAGGTCACTTTTTCAGAATGACTATGGAGTTCTCTGCCAAAACAAAGTGGAGGAAAAAAAAAATCCCAAAGAGGTAGAAAAAGTTCTTAAAACGTCAAAATAAAGTGGAAAGTTACTGAGGAAAACGGCAGAAATTGATCTGCAATATGTGGAAACAACACAGAGAGACTGAGGGTGGAGAACACCATGTTCTGTGCAGATTTTTGGAAATCTGTAGGACAAGATGCAGCTCTGCTCATTCTCACTGTGCCCTTGGCTGTCATTCTGTGCCCCCACAGACAGAATGCATTTCTCCTGCTCTAAAACAGCACCAGTCCATGACCTCAACCCTGGAAATGCAGAAGGCCCTAGAAAAATTTAACCCAACAGAATCCAAGCTTCTTCTTCACTTGGAATTGCTATGTTCTATTTATTTATAAGGTCAGAGCCATAGTAGATATTGCAGGTTAGAACCAAGCCCAAGTAATCTTGAAGGATTGAATTAGAAAACAGGCAATTACCAGGACTTCTAACCCAATATTTAATTCAATAATTCTGATTGTTTAAACAGAACTTGGCTAAGATCAGACTTAAACTCATCAAGAGTATGCTATCCCATTTTATATCATTTTAAAATTCCATCCCACAACAAACACCCACCAAGAGAGAACAGGCTACCAAGAAAAAGTGATTATATTCTGAGGGGTTTAATGAGATTAGAAATGCTTAGAATGAACTCCTCATTTTTTAAATTTTGAGATTGCATTCCAACAGCCCCTCCTTGGGTGCCAGCACAAAAATGAATTTTTTTTTTTGAATTGCACATGTGCCTTTCTTGATATTGCCAAAGTTCCAAGAATGGACCCATTTGGATTTCCCTAAGGAACTTTTTATTCGTATTATATCTCCTTTGTAATCAACACTGAAAAATGTCACTTTGATTAAACACAATTCTGAATGGCTGAGACCACAGTACAATAAACTCTCCAGAGCTATCTTTCAGAACAACTGATTGCTCTCCAGTCTTAATCCCCCAGAGTCTTATTTAATCAAAATGATGTTGCTAATTAAGGATTAAAACTCAGAATAGAGTAAAAAGGAAGGATTTTTTTTTTTCCCCCCTCTTCTCTCCTATGCGCAGGTCAAGGAGACAGAATCTGCTCTGAGGAACTAAACACTCTCATCCACCTTTGGTAAAGCTTCTTCATTCACTGAAGTTTGGATTTAATTTAAAACTCCTTGATATTAACATAATTGGAGGAAAAAAGAATAGCCAGAAAAGCCATCCCCAAAGGAAGAGAGTTCTGATTCACCAAGATCTTAACAGATTCTTCAGGGTTGCATTGTTAATATGCAAATGTGCTCAGTCTTTATTTTAATAACCAGGCATGTAAAGGAGAAAAAAGGGAGAAGTTTAGGCTTCCCTTCACCCTGCCTTAAAGCAGGAATATGGAGAGTCCCACGGCAACTTCCTCACTGCATGGTTTAACCAGAAAATATTGCACTCTCTATAGGGCTACAGAAGGGGCAAATAAAGGCAAACAAATAATCAAAAATTACCTCCCTGGTAATGAATGGAGAAAGAAATCGTTAATATGAAAAGAAATCCAAACCCTGATTTGTAGGAATGTTTTAAGAGCAATTTTTCCTAAAGAATGAAAGAAAAATGGACCAAGATACAAATGCTAAGAGTTTTATCAGACGCCAGAACTTTGCAGCAGCAAAGCTGAAATAATGCAGCAGATTCCTACCGAGTTTAGTCTGAGACTACTCACAGTCCTGACTTCCAGCAAACCAGCAGTCTACTGCTAAACATTCACCCTGATGTAAATCCCAATATATCATTGAATTTTGCCACTGTTAGGGAGCAACAGCAAAACATCCTAAAGGCAGAAAACCAAAGTGAGTGCGTTGTTCCAACAGCAGCAAGGTTAGCAAGGTTTGAGTGTTTGGGCAAATTGTTTAATCCTGAAAACTCTGACTGAACACTTCTGTAGGAGGCCAAAATAGCTCATCATCTACCAGCAAAAGGAAAAGTTTAACTCTTGGAAAACTCTTGCAAAACTCCAAGTTTTGCCATGAAAAAACAAAACGTGAAACCCACCATCCGCTGAATCTGTGAATTTCAGCCGTGCATTTCACCTCAGTATCATTCCCAACAGATTCTTTAGCCAACATTTAATAACCAACCAGTTGAAAAATGAGAGCAGCTCCTTCGGTGCACAGTCCTCGAGGCTGTAGGCACTCAGTGGACACACAACAGCTCTTATGCCTCCAATCCCCAGGCTGGCTGTGAGGAGGGCAAAGTAGAACACGATTTTCTGCTCCCTTTTGGGCAGGGTGAGCAGGATGTGCCTTCTGTCGATGTAAACATCTTCGAAGGGGAATGACACCACAGGTAACAGTGCTGTGCCTGGAACGGAGGGGAAATTGTCATTTGAAAGGGATCAGAATCAGGTAAATAAGACTTATGTGTTTTTAGAGCAGGTATGTTGAAAAGACAGATGGAAAATCAAAGATGGGCAAGAAAAAAGTGCAAAGAGGGAGGGGCACAATTCTGTAGAGAAGCAGAAACTTTTTGGATGTTGTTATGTAAAGTAAGGCAATATCACTATGGATCTCCAAGAAACCAAACCTCCTCTGAAATGATTGTAAGGATTCAGCTACTTCTATCAACCAAACCACCAATTAACCAAAAAAAACCCCACAGAACATCCCACAGTGTAGTGCAGCTCTTTTTGCTGCACTTTTTTTTCCTTCTAAAATACCAGAACTGTAATAGGAATCATAATTTAAGAAATAAATTCTCAGAACTATCGTAGGAAACATTCTTTTTTATTTTTTTCTGTAGCAGCTTCATAGAAAATATGATTGTTAGAAAATTTAACTATAGAAGCACTGGCATGAATTGCATTTACCACTTCTAGTCTGCAAAGCAAGTCTTTCAGATAGATTTTTCAAGTTCTAATGGACACTAAGTTTAAAATATATTGATGTGTCAACAACACCAGTATCAGCCACTACTATGACTGTGCATCAAACTTCAATACACCAGGAAAATTTAATGATTTATCTCCAAAGGAAGAAATGTTCTAGTTAAAACAATACTCAAATACATCAAATTGTGTTTGTCTCCAATCTTCTACCTTAAGAAATCCACTAAAAGTGGCAGAAAGATTTAAACCAGAATACCGGGGGAGTAACAGTGGAACACAACAGCAAACATTTTTTCCAGACTGCTTCAATAATGGTTTTGCAATCAGCTCAAGAATATTTCAGGAACGGCTCTGATTTTTTTTACTTGCTGTGTTGCATGTCTAAATAACAATGTGGCTGGCTATTGTAGAAATCAGACTTGCTCAACAACTGGTTCAAGCAAGAAGCATTTCCATCAACGTGGTTTAATTTGACAGAGCAGCCAGCAGATTGTGCTGGGAGATGCCCTCATGGGGAAGGCCAAAACATGAAATGAGAGATGCCCTACCTGCTACCAGAACAGGTGGATTTTGTTTGAGCAGTGCCTTTTTTTTTAAAAAAAAAGTGCTCAAAATACCACCCAGGGAAGATTCAGAACGTGCCAACAGAAGGCAGGACCTTAGTGCAGGTATGAGGATACTTAAGGTGAAGTTTGTTTATACTGGTGTGCTCTTAAATACTTTTTGTTGTCCAAATACAAAAGTCTTGTACCTTTACAAATAATTTTACTTCTAACACCAGGGAAACAATTTATAAATGCTCTCTTTGACTGAAGCCTTGCATTTGTGGCAAACACTTATAACCTTAGGGATCAATTTTAAGAGTCGAGCATCCACGCTGCCAACAGCTGAGGAGCCAAGGTCGTGCACCAGCTACACAAGATGCACACACAAACGTGGCTTTGTCTCCTTGAAACCACTCAGAAAACAAAGGTGAAAACACTGCAGTGCATTTTGAAGAAGAGGAGATAAACAGCGAGGTGCTAGAGAACGTTGGGGAAAACACAAACCCGACGCGACGCTCAGGAACGCGTTTCCGACAGAGAATTTGGGAAAAAAAAGCGTGGCAGCCCCCAGGCTGTGACCCACCTAGGAAATGCAGGAACATGCAGATGCACACCAGCCTGACCCTGCCCACGAGGTGCTCAGCCAGCCAGCCCAGCAGCACGGGGGTGAGCGTGGAGGTGCCCACGAAGCACATGTTCACCATGGCCGCCTGGTAGCCGCGGTAGCCCAGCTTGGCGGTGCAGAAGAGGATCATGTTGCACACGATGCCAAAGAAGGTGAAGCGCTCGCACAGCTCCACCAGCAGCACACAAACAGCCTCGTGCAGCTTCTTCTCAGCTCCAGGTAGTTTTCCAGCATGGGTGCCTCTCCCAGCTAAGGGTCGTGTCTCCTTGCCAGCCATGTGGTTCAAAAATCCCTTCTGCTGCGGGTCTCTGCTGTCTGCAGCGGGCATGCTTGTCTTTTTATTTTTTTTTTCTTTTTTTTTGCAGTAGACCAGCTGGAGTTACAGGTATGTTTCTGTGCTCCTCCACTGTCATTAGCAGACTGGTAAGACTCTCGCTTTGAATTCCACACTCTGCTACTACAATTTCTTAGGGCACCTGTCACTTTTGAGATATTACATATAGGATCAAAGAGTATTAAAAAAAACCAAAACCAAACAATCGAAGAATTACATGAACATTTCAGCCTCTGAATTTAGCAGCACTAGGAAGTTAAGTAGTTTATTTAATTAGTTCATTTGGGGGTGAACGAGATTTTTTTTCCCCAGAATTGTATTACCTATTAAATTATGTGAATCCAATACTGTATGCTAAACTCAATCTGTATGTTAAAGATAAAGGTTTAAACACACATGAAAGCTAACATTTTCAACAGAATTCAAATAACAGATTGAGAAAATAATTTGGTTAAAATAATCCAATACTTTAATTAGGAAACAAGTGAAAAACAGCAAGTATATAAAGACAGGGATTTTTTTTTTTTTTTTTTAAGGTTAACATTATCCAATGATTGTGCTATTTCTTTCAATTTCTGGTTGAAATTCAGATAAAGGTAATTATAAAAATAAATAATGCTACTAAGTTTAAATTAGAAAAACGAATTTCAAAATAACGTAAGTTGAATTTATTATCAAAAGAAAAAAGAGCAACCTAGAAGCAGCCTAGCCCACAGCTTTTTCTTAAGGCAGATTCTGCCCTGTAGCTACAATGCACCACAAGGGGCAGGGGCAGAGTTCTTCCATATCAACAAAAGCCATTGAAAGGGAATTAGGAACAGCCAAATTCACAGTTCTTCATAATGTTCCTGCTACTTTATCCACAGCAAAGTCTGCTGATTTCCCAGGTCAGCCTCTCCATTTTGTGGAGCTCATTAAGATCACTAATACCTGTTCAAAATACTCCCACCCACCAATGGAAGCATCCCACATTTATCCTGTGCAAGTGAAAATGCACACACGTGGCACAGGGAAGTGGAAAACCAGGTCAGCTCCTCTGAACAGAGCTCTCAGTGCTCCTGATGGCTTTTTTGGAGACATGGGCTCTGCTGTTTGCTTCCATCTGTCCTTATAACTACTCAAATTTAGCCTCTTCAGATCTGTTAGAATATGAAAACTACTACATCACAAAAGAGAAGCACAATAGTATATAACCAGTAGTGATAAGATGCCAAGATTGCCTAAAAAAAAAAAAAATAAAAGCAACCATGACTCAAACATAAAGCCTAAAAACTCTGAAGCTTAAATCTGAGTAGTACTAGGTTGTTCCCTAAAATTAAATATATTTTTAAATCTATTACAAGTCTAACTCAAGAGTTCAGACAGCAAAAACCTCATAGTTTTCAGAGCCATTCAATTAGGGATGAAAACAGCTGTGACTTGTGCCAAGAACTCCTTCTGTTTTCTGATCCGTGATAGCTAAACTGATCCTCCTTTGAGCAAACCAAGCAGAGAAATCAAAAGCATAGCTCAGCTTAGCTTCTTCATCAAAGCCTAAAGAAGCCAATCTCAAATCAGAACAGGACAGAGAAAAGTATTTTACCTCAAAAGTGCACACATCTTCCGTTGCATGAAGTTACTTTTATCTAATTGTTCATAAAGATAATGATTCTTCTTTTTTTTTTTTTTTTTTAAGCAAACACAACTGCATTCTAACATCAGATGGGAAATATAAGGAAACAAACTCTTGCTCTAATAGACATTTGAGCCTAAAACACTCTGTTTTCCTTTAGAGTGCCAAGTTTACCTGTTCTCATGGATCACATCGTGGGAACCAGCACAGAGAGCTGGGATGGCTCTTAGTCCTCATGTGGTTTCATTTACCCAAATTTGGGGTTACAAGCTGGGAAAAGGGAACAATTGACTGAGCCTTATAAATGCCCTGGAAAGGAGGATTCTGGTGATTTCCATGATTGCTTCTGAATTGCCTTTGCATGTGATCAATAAGGGTGTGGTGGGGACAGGCCCAGATCAGTCAGGACAGGCTTGGCATGGTCAGGGGTAAGAGAATGTACAGCTCCATGTAACAATAGGATCTTTATTGGTTTAATTTTTTAATCACTGCTGCAGCAATTATAGGTGGTTAGTCTATTTACTTGGCATATTTTCTAGTGAATTCTAGTTTAATCATCTGGCATTCAATTGGCTTATTCTTACACAAGGTAATAGAACTGCATAAAGCCTGTTAAAAAACCTTTATTATTTGCATTAACATATGTAGAGCTTTATATATACTGAAGCTCCTAGAAACTGGACTCACAAAATAACTGCTGTGTCAAAATGCAGTACTTCTGTCTGCCAGCAAGGGCTTTGTGTGTTTTTTAAACAAATCTTTAAAGATCTGCAAATGTGGTAGTCACATCTTGGAGAGAGGTTTATAAAAATACTTGTTCTCACGTGGCAGTGTCAGCCCACTAGAGGTTTGGGTGTTAATAAAAGAATTGTTATTTGATGTTCTACCACCCCAGGTTAAAGGTTACTCCTTCTCATACCAGAACCTACACATTAACATTAGGCAAGTGAATTAAACTGGTCAGGTTGGAACTGAAATTTTGTATTAATTTTCTCTGTGGCAAGGGATAATTGTCTTTTATTGTAGAGGTAACTTAAATTAAAGAGGCAGAACTTCAGTGTCCAACACGAGTTTTTTTAGCTAAGAGATAATAGTGGCTTTAGACCTCTGTTTGTGTTCTAGAAAGGTCAGTCTCTCTAATTTTTCAGTAAATTCAATTCAGCTTTATTCTTACTCTTTTAAAAAGCATGTGAGAGGTGCTACCCATCATCATAGCAGTGGCTGTGGCTCCTGCTAAATATCCAGGGTGGAAACATGATTGATATGGACAAGGCTGACAATACAACACAAGAATTTTGATACTTGCAAATAAAAAATTACGTGGGTCAAATGTTTCTAGTTAGCACCAGGATTCCCATAAACTTGCATGGTTTGAGAGGCTGGCTCAGTGACCTCAATGACTTGAGGACTGCAATTTAAAAGACAAGAAATGCAGAGCAAAACGTTCATAGTTTAAAAAAAAATAGCTTCTAGGGTGACCTTTCTTTTTCTATTATTTTTTTTTTGTTCCCTTTTTTTTTGTCTTTAGGTGTCACACTGGGCAATGTGTTAATTCCTATGCCCTACATCTTATTTCACAGATGAATAATGAAACTTCTTTTGTTGTAATTGTTACCTCAGACAATTATTTTAGTGATTTCTGCACTGCCTGTCACTGCAGTCTCAGAGTTTTCTGGCCTGAAAGAGAACTGTGACAGAATATGGCAATGCTTCTTTTGGAGTTCCCAGCATTTCCAACCCATATCTGATGCTTCTGAGAAACTTTATCTGCATCAGTAAAAGTGCTGCCTGATATTTATCTGACTACATGGCAGAGGAATGAATAATTGCAAACCCCAAGTGCTTGTGGAGAGTGTAAAAGGTCAATTAAGAAACTGAAATGCAGTCATCATGAGTCTGAGAAAGCCAATTTATGAAATCTGTTATGTTAGCAAATCTACTAAAATAAAATTGTTTTCTATTTTATGAACATCTCTCAAATGGTTTAAAAGGACACTTGAAAGGCTGAAAAATGGCATCTATGAAATAATCAGTTCTTAAAATTACTGATTATATGAGAAATTCTCGGAGAAGTTCTGGAACTATGGTACCACATTAACTTTGAATCATTTTATTCTCCCTTTGGTAAGTATTTTTGCAAAAATTTCAACACTTTAGCCAGATGTTAGCTGGTAACTTCACCCAGTTCTGCCTTGCTGCAGGAGGGATGTTATATCTGTCTTTTTCCATGGCCACTTTTGTCTGTGAAAGTGCAGGACCAAGGTGAGACTTTAAGGAAAAGCTGTATTTTAAGAAGTATATTTATTTTTTCCTAATATAATAATCATCATCAAAAATAATGTGGGAAAGCCATTTTCTTCATTCTGCTGAAATGCAGCATACCAAGAAAGAGAATTAAATCCCTCTCCCAACAATGCTCCAGACATCCTGGTGGAGAGTGCAGAGAGGACCTTTCTGCTAAAAGTTTTATTTTCTCTGCTTGTCCTGCAAAAGATTCATTCTCCTTGAATCCTCCTTTCCCCCAGTGTAAGTTTTGTTCCTCTCTTTTTCTTATTTAAGCAGGGAATGTGGCAGAAGCACAGAACTGACACGAAGCAAGAATTCCACAGCTTTTTCCAGGGTACCCAAAGCAGTGTAAGATGTGAAGACACCTGAGTGCAGTGAAGGGCCGTGGAGATGCAGAGGGGACTGGAGCATCCCTCATGTGAGCAGAGGCTGAGAGAGCTGGAACTGCTCCCCTGCAGAAGAGAAGGCTCAGGGGGTTCTTGTTCATGTCTAAAAATACCTGAAGGGAAGGAAAGTGCAAAGGGGGCAGAAACAAACTCTCCTCAGTGGTGCCCAGTGACAGGATGGGAGGCAACAGGCAAAAAAAAAAAAAAAAAAAAAACGAAACGAAGGGAATTCAATTTAGGAATAACTAAAAACTTGTGAGGTTGGCCAATACTGAAAGAGGCTGCCCAGAGAGGATGAAGCAGAATCTTCATTGCTGAGGGTATTAAAAACCTGAGTGGGGACAGTGCTGAGCAAGATGCTGCAGGTGACTCTGAGCAGGTGGGATAGAGTAGAAAATCAACCATTCTGTGGTGCTGAGCAGCACCACTGAATACTTTGGCAAAGTAGACTCAAACAAGACGATAGAACAAAAAAAGTATCTTGCCCAGATGCCAGACATGACCTCTCTGAGTGAGAAATTTACTTTACACTCTATGAGTGCTAATTTATTTTGATAATTTTTTTTTTCGGGGGAGATGGTTTTAAAATTGCTGATCCTCAAACCTTTACTATAAATGAGAATTATTTTGGCATGATTACCCTGTTCCTTCAAACCACACATGTTTTATTTCAGGGATTTTGTTCAAACGTATATAATTATCTATGTTAA